CCTTAGACTAAACCAATTAATTCCCCCACCTCTTCCCCTCCTGTGTTGTTTTTGTCACATCTTATTCCATCTTGTGTTGTGAGTTTGTGGTTAAAATGATTAGATTATTTTTATTTTGGTGTTTTCCTTTTCTTTATCCTTAATGTTAAAGTTAAGTGTTTACTAACCTGATCTCATAGAGAGCTGCCATTTTCTGATTACTGCCTACCTATTCACCTCTTTGCTCAGGGCTTTGTAGCTTCCTTCCTATTTTTTTTTCAGGTATGAGGGTCTTCTTGAGGATTTCTTGTAGGAGGGGTCTTGTGGTGATGAACTCCCTTAGCTTTTGTTTATCTGGGAAATTTTTATTTATCTGTCATAGCTGAAGGAGATTTTCACTGGATAGAGTATTCTTGGCTGACAGTTTTTATCTTTCAGGATTTTGAATATACCATTCCACTCTCTCCTAACCTGTAAAGTTTCTGCTGAGGAACCTGCTGAATGCCTGATAAGGGTTCCTTTGTAAGTTATTTTCTTCTGCCTTGCTGCCCTTTTTATTTTTTCTTTGTCACTGTTTATTGCCAGCTTTACTAGTATATGCCTTGCAGTAGGTGTTTTTACATTGATATATTTAGGAGAGCTGATAGTTTCTTTCATGTGGATGTCCATCCTATTCCCCAGGTTTTATGAATTCTCTGCTATTATTTCTTTGATTAAGCTTTCTGTTCTGTTCTCCTCTTCTCCCTCTGGAATACCTATAATCCTGATGTTGCATTTCCTAATGGAGTCAGATGTTTCTATGAGAGTTTCTTCATTTGTTTTTAGTCTTTGTTCTCTATTCTTCTCCCTCTTAAGCATGTATATTGTACTGTCCTCTAACTTGTTAATTCGGTCTTTCATATTGTCAGCTCTGTTTTTTAGGGAATCCAGGTTTTTCTTTATCTCATCCATTGTGTTTTTCATCTCCAATAATTCTGATTGGTTCTTCTTAATGGTTTCAATCTCTTTTTTGAAGAAGCTCCTGAATTCGTTAATTTGACTTTCTGTATTTTCTTGTAATTCTTTGAGTTTTTTTTTTATGATAGCTATTTTGAATTCTTTGTCATTTAGCTTATGGATTTCTGTGCGTTCAGGGTTGGTTTCTGGGTACTTGTCACTTTCCTTCTGGTCTGGAGATGTAATATATGTTTTCATACTGCTTGATGGTGTGGATTTTGCCTCCACATAGTGTTATTATCTGGCCACAGCTGCCATATGCCACCACTGGGTGGGGATCAGGTGCTGTGTATTCTGGACCCAGTATGATCAGGGGCTCCCCAGCTCTGGCCACTGACTGCTTTTCTTTCTCTGCAATGCTCTGACTGATGGCAGATCTGGAGCACCAGGCAGGGGGAGGGTGCTTTCTTTCAACTGCCCTTCCCCAGCCTCTGCTTCTCTCCCTGTGTGGTGCTTTAGGTGATTGCAGGACTAGGGTGCCAGGCATGGGAAGGGGCACTTTCTTACACCTGAGTGCCTCCCTCAACCACTGTCTCTCTCTCTGCGTGGCTCTCTGGGCAATCACAGAGCTCCACCAGCTGCTTCCTCTCTCTGCACAGTGCTCTGGGTGTTCATGGGGCTGTGCACTTCCCCCAGCAGCCACTACCTCTCTCTCCACCCTATGCTCTGGGCGATTGTGGGGCTGGAGTGCCAGGTGGGGATGGGGCACCTTTCCTCCCTTGTGCACCTCCCACAGCTGCCACCACCTCACTCTCTATGCTCTGCTCTGGGTGATCATGGGGCTGGAGTGCCAGGCTGGGAAGGGGCACCTTTCCTCACCTGCACGTCTCCCCCAGCCATGGCCTCTCTCTACAGAGCTCCTGCTGATAAGCTTCCACTTCCTCCAGAGGATCCAGCCCCACCACCACCTTCAGACGTATGGTTGTGCGGGTCTCTCAGACAACTTTTGTGTTGTGTGAATGTCCTCTGTTGGTATATGAATGTCCTTTTGGTTGTATTTTAGAGGGGAGATTTCAAGGGAAGAGCTCACTCTGCCATAATGCTGATGTCCCTCCAAAATGAGGGTGATTTTAGAGAGAAAAATTATATTTCAACAGAAACTATAATACACATTTGTGGATGTTGGATATTAGTTCTGTTAATTGTCCTTGAAGTTTTTGTTTTCTGTCTGTAAACTGGACTGCATTCTGAATTCTTCTAGTTTCCTACAATTTCTGGTACAGATCTCCAAATTAGTGTTTTCAATTTTTTTCTGTCCTTTTCATTTAGAATCATTGAAAACTAAAACCACCCTTTTTGCTGAAGCCCTGAAAACTAAAATTGGACAACAATGTTATAAAATCTTATTTGACGTAGGAGCTAGAACTTAGACCTGACTCTGCAGTACAGGTCTTAGAAACTGCTTGGCCAAAAGAGGAATTAGCTTTCCTTAATGAAGGATTAATGCAGACCCTAAACCAAATTAGTCAAGTATAACATAAAGTACGGATCACAGTATACAATAGGGGAGAGAAAATTGTCCAGTTGGTCAACAAATATGAACATCAATGTACAGGATTCACAGGTGGCATGACGTGCTTTTTCTCTGCTCTCTCAACTTCGCTATCTACCCCCATTGGAAAAACTGTCCTGGTATGTGCCACCATTTTCCTTTTCCTCCTTTGTTGTAAATGTAGAAAATGTTATTGCTCATGTCTCTGCTGATGTTGTTGGTCCCCATCAGAACAATCAGGAGACCAAATAGCCTTAATAAAGGTCAGAACTAACCCTCACTTCCAAGAAAGAGTGAGGCAATTTAAAAAGCTTGCTTGGATCCACAGTGTCAGTTTTAAGCTTCCTGATTCTTCCCCATTGTGGTGCCCTTCACCAGCAGGAAGTAGCCAGAAGATGTCCACAGGCTTATTCCCGAGTACTTCATATGATTATGAAGTTATAACTGACAGTGGGGAAATTGTAACAGCTAGATCTTAAGTTAACATGAAGGAAGCCATCTTAGGGCAAAGAAATGTTATGGTAACTATGACCTTGACTCACTAGTCTCTGTGAATACATTCTATCCTGTTCATAGCCTAGATGATTAAGCACCTCTTGGTTTTGCAAAATACATGATCTGCTAGTTGTATGACTCTTGCTTACATATATATCCCAGCTGTGATAAGACAGCTTTGTTCTCTGAGTTCTCCAGGAGCATGATGTCCTCCAGAAAGAAAAATTCTGCATTGGTACCCATCACAAATGACAGAAAAAAGAGACAATGTGGTGTCTTGAAGCTCATCACACCGGATGGTTGACATCCCTAACCACTCTTCTTCCCTGCTCATTTCCCGTATATAACTGCCTCAAGATTCTGTATGATTTTAAGATGGTTCTTCAGGACACTAGTCTGCCATCTTCTGATTATGCTAGCTAATTGTACAAATTTTCCTTTCTCAACCACCAGCTTGTTTGCAATTGATTGGCACCAGATTGTGGTGAGCAGAATGAGCCCCTTTTTGCTCAGTAACACTACCTTTTACTTGTTAAATCCAATGGCTTTTCACTATGTTTTCTCTCTCCTCGATCTCTCACCACACTAAGCTTTGTTTGCCATTTTTCTCCCTAGAAATGTTGGCTTTTGAGAAACTTTGCTGGTTCTCCTATTTCTCTGATGGGTACCTTTCAGTCTTTTTCACGGGTATTTCTTAGTCTCTTTTGTATACTCTTTCCCCCCATATTCTCTAAATTTGACTGTTTTTAAAATTTTTGCTATTAATCTCATTTGCCAAAAATCTCATTTATTTCCCCTGGCTTCCCCATGTTGGAAAGGCCACACATAAAAACTGGCTTCAGTTAGCATCTGTTTGCTGATGGCTCCCAGATCTCTCTCTTGCCCATTCTTCCTTCTTGAGCTCTAGACATGTATATTCAATGGCCTCCTGATTATCTGCCCTTGGTAGCCTCACAGGTATCTAAAACTCAACATATCTTAAACTCTATTTGTCATCTTCATCCTCTTGTCCTTCCAAACTTGCTCCTTCTCTTGGCTTTCCCAACTCTGCAGATAGCCCCTCTATCTGCCCAGTCATCCAAACAAAAACTTGAGCATCAGCCTAGACTCTGCCCTTTCCTTTCAGGTCTTGTCAATCCTCTCTTTTCAATAGATCCATGCTCTAAGTGACTTGATATCCTTGCCTCTAGTCATTTTCCTTACAATAAGATTGACATCCTTGAAATGTAGCTCTGATTACATAACGTCCATGTTCAGGAATATGCACTAGATCACAAGAGAAAAACACAGACACAAAGAACATGAACAGAAAAAACCACAAATGGTCAATAAATGTGATAAAGTGATAAACTTCACTTATAATTAAAATACAAATTTAAACCACAAGATACTAATTTTCATCTGTAATATTTGCTAAAACTTAGTGTTGGTGAAGGGAAATGGACACTCACACACAGATGGTGGGAGTGGAAACCAGCAGAACGTTTTGGAGGCAATTTGGCAGCATCTATGAAAACTTTAAGTGTATATACACCCTTTGATGCACTTTTAGATTTTATCCCACAGAAATACTTAAGCAAGTATACAAAGTTATATTTACAAGGACATTTGTTACCTCATTGTGCATAATAGTGAATAAATGGAAACAACCTAAATGTCTATCAACAATGGAATTGTTAAAAATGTAACAATATGTACAAATAAAAGATTACTGTAAGCTGTCATAAAAAAATAAGGTATCTATATATCATGACATGGAAAGATGGCGACAATTTATTAAGCAAAAGGAGAAAGTTTCACAATAGTGTGTAAATCTTATTTCTGGTACAAAGGGGCTGGATTATTTGGGATGCTGGTGGAAGTTGAAAACCCCAACACAGCTCTGTTTAACAATAAGGACATTGTCGTACAAAACAAGAAATCTGAGGCAGTGTACTTTCAGGATTCGTTCAATTAGAAGCTTAATCATGCCATTGAGGCCCAAGGTTCTTTTCACCTTTCCACTTGATGAGCTGGACTGTGTCTGCCTTGTTTTTAGGTGGGCTTCCTCATGGTCTCACAATGACTGCTACAGTTCCAGGTGGCACATGAAGAAAGCTACATCCAGAAGTACAAAGTGGACCTTCTTTTCTCTGCATTTATTTTAAAGATCAAGGAAAACTTTTCTAGAAGGCTCTTGTATCAGTTAGAGTCCTGGTAGAAAACAGAATGCACAAAGTGACAGATTATATTTTCCAAAGATGTCTGCAGCAACCTCTCCTATCCCAATTTGCTTTTCTACCATGTGACCCTGCAACTCCTCTATTAAGAGGTGGAGTCAAATTATCCTCCCCTCGAATATGAGTAGGCTTGTGAGTATATCAATCATTAGAGTATAGCAGAAATAATGCTGTGTGACTTTTGAGGCTGTCATATAAAATGATGCAGCTTCTGCCTGATTCACTGTAACACTCACGCTTGCAGCCCTGAGCCACCATGTAAGAACTCCAACTGAGACAACCATGCCATAGAGACCAAATGTATGAACTCTGGTCAACAGCTCAACTGAGCAAGCATCAACTGTCAGGCATGTTGATTGAGCCATCTTAAATATCCTGCACAGTTAAGCCTTCAGATGACTGCAGCCCCAGTTGACATTTAACTACAACCAAGAGACCCAAAGAAAACATTATTCAGCTGAGCCCTTTCCAAATTCCCGACCCAAAAGTTGTGAGAAAAATAAAGTAGTTGTTTTAAGCCACTATGTTTTTGGGTAATTTGTTACACATCTCTATTAATTGGAACTCATACTCAAACAAGATAGCTAAGGAGAGTTTAATGAAGAGAGCATGGACAAGGTATGGACAAGGTTAATGAAGCCAACAAAAGATGTGCATTACCTCAGCAGTAGTAATAGTGGAAAGTAGCTAACAGTCTTAGGACTAAAGGGGAAAGGTGAGGGAGCAGTTATAGGAACCCAGAAGGAGTAGCTGTAGGAGAACACTACCTGACACAGGTTCTGGCCTTAGGTAGAGGGAAGAATCTGACCCATGGTGACTTGGCAGAGAAAGAGTAGGGGGAAAAGTACCCTGACCTCAGTCTCTTCTTTCCTCTGATTTCCTGTTAGTACTTCCCATCAGCCAAATCCAGAAGCTAGAATTTAAGGGAGCTTGTTTATGCATTCCATGTGGATGGGTCTCCCAGGGAACAAGGCAGGACCAAGAAGGGTGGAGAGTGGATGTAGAGGGACAAATCGAAGCTATCCAGCAAGCCCCCAATGGAAATCTCTTCATATTTCATTGGCCAGAAATTGCTCACATCACTGGGGGCCAATCACTAGCATAGGGAATAGGACAACCATCATTAACTGAGTCCAATCAGTACTCACTCTTTGAGAGTGGGACTGTGACCCACCTCCCTGAAGGGCATGGCTGGGAGATTGGAGACTAACAAAATCAGGGTTCTGTTACCAAGGAAGAAGGAAAAAGCTGTTGGTAAGGTGACAAACATTGTCTACCAAAGAGGTCATGAGGCTCAAGAGTTTATTGAAGGCTAACTGCTGCTCCTTGGCTGATCATTCCATCTCCTGGGCCTCATGCCTGACAGATAGTTATGGCTAGCTCTGCCAGTATAGATGACTTCTGATGAAGATGATGCCACCAAATGATGAAAATATTCTTCCTCTCTAATGGAAAAACAATTAGAGATTTATCACATCTTAAAATCCTTGACTTGAAGATTTGGTCAAAGGTGATGATACAATTTTTTTAAAGCAAGGCCACACACTGAGACTTTGAGTACTTCTTGAAGAAGATGCTCTCTGAAGATTTTCAGGAGCAGACTGAAGATTGTTGCACTCATTTATATTTTTATTTGTAATGTTTTTGTGTACACTGGCTGTTTCATACAATCAGTTGAGAAAAATTTGTCTTCAAACCTTGGATCTAGAAATGTGGCAATGGAGCAGTGTAATTAGCCTTCAAGAGAAAATTGTCGGAAAATTGTGGATTTCCACTCACATCTCAGTTTTCATCACATGCATACCAATTACAGAATGACAGTAACCATGTAAGAAATTCTTGCATTCTTGTTTGGTTCCTTTTCCAGCAGTTTCTCTTGTGAGCATACAAATACATTTATACTTCAAATTACTGACAGAATTTCAGCATATAAAGCACAGAAGGAGATTTTTATTTCAGTTTACTTTCAGAATGCTCACCAATATTTGAAACTGACTGACCTGCTGGCTTGTATTACTGACATTGTTATGTTGATTAATCACATGGCCACTGATCACTCACAGGTTCAGGGAAGCCAGACATGATGCTGATGTCTTCATTTGGCTGTTCAGCCTTCCAAAGACTGAGACTGAAGCCAAAAGGTAAGGTCATCTCTAGTGCTTCCTATCGGCTAGGCACTATTCTTAATTCTGAGAATAAAATGGTTTCTCCATCATATCTGAAGGATATTTTTGCTGGCTAGAGTATCCCTGGCTGAAAGTTTTTGTACTTCAAAGATTTGAATATGTCATTTCAGTTTCTCCTAGCCTGTAAGGCTTCTTCAGAGAAAGTCACTGAAAGCCTGATGGGGGTTCCTTTGTAGGTTATTTTCTTCTGCCTTGCTGCCCTTTTTTTTTTTAAAGGAAGATTAGCCCTGAGCTCACTGCTGCCAATCCTCCTCTTTTTTCTGAGGAATACTGGCCCTCAGCTAACATCTGTGCCCATCTTCCTCCACTTTATAAGTGGGATGTCTACCACAGCATGGCCTGCCAAGTGGTGCCATGTCTGCACCTGGGATCCGAACCAGTGAACCCTGGGCCAACAAAGTGGAATGTGTGCACTTAACCACTGCGCCACTGGGCCAGCCCCTCTTTGTCATTCAGTTTTGCCAATTTGACTACTATATGCCTTGCAATAGGTCTTTTTACATTGACATATTTAGGAGATCCAGCAGCTTCTTCCACATGGATTTCCTTCCCTGGGTTTGAAAAGTTCTCTGCTATTATTTCTTCGAACAAGCTTTCTACTCCATTCTCCTTCTCTTCTTCTGGAATACCTATAATTCTTATGTTACATTTCCTAATTGAGTCGGATATTTCTCAGAGACTTTCTTCATTTCTTTTTAGTCTTAGTTCTCTCTCATCCTCTATCTGGAGCATTTCAACATGTCTATCTTCAATTATGCTGATATGCTTCTCTATGGTGTTTGCTTGAGCATTCATGGAATCCATATTTTGTTTTATTTCTTCCATTGTGTCTTTCATCTCTAATATTTCTGATTGATTCTTCTTTATAGTTTCAATCTCTTTTGTGACGTAGCTCCTGAACTCGTTGAATTGTTTCTCTACATTCTCTTTTACCCAGTTGAGTTTTTTTGATGATAGCTGTTTTGAATTCTTTGTCATTTAGATTTCATATTTCTGTGTCTTTAGGACTGAATTTTGGGTACTTGTCATTTTCTCTCTGGTCTGGAGATCTAATATAATGTTTGATATTGCTAGAGGGAGTGGCTCCGTTTTTTTCGTATCCTGGTGTTGTTTGGTTGCAGTTACCACCTATCGCCACTAGGTGGGGGGGGGTTCAAGAGCCATGTATTCTGAGCCCTCTGCCTTCAGCTGAAATCCAAGGGGCTGGAGCAGCCATAGAGTGGGTGGGGGGAGGGTTGCTTTCTCCTGGGTGCTCGCAGGGTTTTCTCCCTCTGCTCTCTATCTACTCTCCTGGGGTGCTGGCTTAATAAGGTCACCCCTTGCAAAAGCTTCTGCCCCAATAGAGGGCTTCCCTCTAGGCTGCAAGGACCCTGAGGATTCCTTGATGTTCCTGTGAATGAACGTCTCCTCCCCCATTCCTTCCCTCTTGGAGGCCGCCCACGGTCCCAGATCGCATTCTTTAGGGGAGAGAGTGAAGTTTTCACTTATCCCATTCCACCTCCTCCCAGGGGCACTCCAGCCTCTCTGCCCTCCGTGGTATGGCTGTGTGGGTCTCTCTGACGTTTTTTGTGTTGTGTTTGGATGTCCTCTGTTGTAGTATGAATGTCCTTTTTGTTGTATATTGGAGGGGAAAGAATACTGGAAAAACTCACTCTGCCATGATGCTGACGTCACTCTTCTGAGAATAAAATGATGAACAAAATAGACAGACTGCCTATCCTTGTGGAATCTAGTGGGGTAATAGTGACTAAACAAATAAGTATATATATATAATATATTCATCAGAAGTATAACGTAGTGTCAGGCAGTGATGAATGCTATGGAGAAAAATAAAGTGGGGTAAAAGGATAGAAGGTGATGTGTGCTATTTTAGGTAGAATATTTGAATGAATGTCTTTGCTGAATGAAGAAAGGACAAATCACATCCGTCTATCACCAAGTCTGGCCCATTCTGTCTTCTAAAGAGCTTTCCAATTGCTCCCCTTTCATTCATCTTCATATCCCTGCCCAGCTCAGGCTATGTCCTTTATCTGTAACTTGGATCTCCAGTCCATCCTTCACACTAGTTGTCAGGGAGATCTAACACTCAGATATAACTGGGTCCCTCCCATGCTTAGAATTTTGTGACTCCCTATTGCCTACAAGATAAAGGCCAAGCTTCTGGGCCTGGAATTTAAATCCTGTCATGACCTGGTACCTGTCAACTTCTCCAGCATCATCTCTCACCTCTCCTCCACCTTTGCCCCAAAATCAGAGGCACTCAACTACCTGCAGCCTTGGTTTTTAAAAACATCCCAAATCTGACCACTTCTTACCACATTGCCCACTACTACTTTGGTCAAGGTCCCATCATCTCTCACCTGGATTACTGCAGTAGCCTCTTCACTTGTCTTTCTTGCTCTCTCCTCTTCACCCTCAAAGTCTGTTCTTCTTAAAAATATCCAGAGAGATCCTATTAAAACCCACCCTTCCTCTTCAAAACCTTTCCACTGCTCCCACTTCAATCAACTTAAAATCTAAAATCCTTATCACAACTCACAAACTTTTGCATGATTTGGCCCCTTTGTGACCTCTTTGACCTCTCCTCCTATCCCCTTTCCTTGTTCCAGCTACCTGGCCTCCTCACAGTTCCTGGAACAGGCCAGACCTACTCCCACCCCTTGGCCTTTGCTCTGTCTGACTAGAATGCCCTTTCCCTAGTGGAACAGCTAATTCTTGTCTCTGCTCAAAAGCTATTCATTGAGAGGATTTCTCTGAAACTGGTCCATAACAGCTATGCTGCTCCACTACTTTTTTTAAATTTAAAAATATTGTGGATATGTATATATATATATACATATATAATTATATATAATAAAATTTGCCATTCTAACCATTTTTAAGTGTACAATTCAATGGCATTAATTACATTCAAAATATTGTACCACCATCACCACTCTCTATTTCCAAAACTTTTTCATCATCCCAAACAAACCACTCATTCCTTCCTCCCCACAGCCCCTAGTAACTTCTAATCTACTTTCTGTCTCTAGGAATTTTTCTATTCTAGATCTTTCATATAAGTAGAATCATAAAAAATTTACCCTTTTGTATCTGGTTTATTTCACTTAGCATAAAGTTTTAAAGGTTCATTCATGTTGTAGTATGCATCAAAATTCCATTCTTTTTTATGGCTGAATAATACATCATTTTATATATATGTATCATATTTTGTTTTTCCATTCATCTGTTGATGGACACTTGGGTGGTTTCCATCTTTTGGCTGTTGTGAATAATGTTTCAGGGAACACTGGCATACAAGTATGTGTTGGAGTCTCTATTTTCAATTCTTATCTATA